GGAGAAGCAAAAAACTATGGTTCACCCCCGAAGTAACTTTAGCTTTAAAGAATTAAAGACAACCCCAAAGACTTCTGGAAATTCATTCACTCTAAGACAAAAAAGACAAACTCAATAAAGAAACTGATAACGAAAGATGGAGCAGACCTAACACTAGTAACAGAAGATTTAGATAAAGCCATTGAACTCAATAATTTCTTCAGTTCAATTTTCACACTAGAAGACACCTCCAGCCGATGATCAGCAACCAGTAACCAAACTAGAAGAGATTATTTTATAACAGCTCGAGATCACTAAACAGCTAGGGGATTTAGCCCACTCAAAGTCACCTGGTCCAGATGATTTCTATCCAAAGGTATTGAAAGAAATGTCAACCAACGGTTACTTTTCAAAAAATCTCTGAATGAAGGAATAGTACCAACTAACTGGAAGGAAGCTAACATCATTCCAATCTACAAAAATCCAAATCCAAATAAAACAATTACAGGCCTGTCAGCCTCACTAGTATATTGGTCAAGTCAATGGAATCGCTAATAAGAAATGAGATGATGAAATTCCTGGAAAACAATTCGCTACTAACTTCTAATCAGTATGGATTCAGATGTGGTTGTTCAACCACCACTCAACTTCTGGACTACCTAACAGAAAATATAGATTCTGCCATACCAACAGAGGCAATCTACTTGGACTTTCAGAAGGCGTTTGACAAGGTTCCGCATAAGAGACTTCTCATCAAGTTACAAAATCTTGGCATATCTGGTAAAATTTTAAAGTGGGTGGAAAACTTCCTAAACAATAGAAGACAGAGTCATGCTGAACCATATCACATCACCATGGGTGGATGTAAATAGTGGAGTCCCTCAGGGTAGTGTCCTAGGCCCAATACTTTTCCTGATATATATAAACGATATACCATCAATTATTAAATCAGTCATTAAGTTATTTGCAGACGACACAAAAATTATGGGACCTAATGGACAGCAGTCTGATATCACCAATCTCCAAGCAGATTTGAACAACCTAGTAGACTGGTCAAATAAATGGATGATGTCGTTCAACATTGAAAAATGCAAGTCACTCCATTTTTGATTCAACAACCCGAAACACCATTATTACATAGGAGACTCAAACAGACCTCTTAACCAAGATTTCCAAGAAAAGGACCTCAGTTAATGCTTACTGTAGACAGAATACAGTATGAACAGTATTATACATGGACTTAAATTGAAAATGCATTTATTAATTGACACTAAATGATGACAATAAAACAAGACATAGCTTTCTTTTCACAAGATCTTGAAAGATAAACAAAATTCTAATTATAATGAACAAATAATTTTTTTCTGAAATATCAAAGAAAAATGATTAAGCCTACTGACTTGCAAAATATAGACAGATATGAAAATTAGAACATTAAATTATGGAATTTCGTCATCATCGATGGAATCAAGTTGGCCACAGAAAAGTATATCATGTAGATTTTTTTCAGAATAAGCTGTAACTGATTTTTTTTATAAAACATAGAGGGTAATATATTTTGTAATTCTTTATAGTATCTTCTGATAATACGGGATGCTTGGCAAGAAATATTAAATGGAGCCATAAATGGGATAATTTGAGAGTCATACTGTATGTCTAGTTCAGAAGGTGTATAAGGTTCATCCAAAAGCTCTCCCTGTATAGTCTGGAACTTTTAGGTTTTGTCTTCTTCATAGATGACTTTTTCAATTGATGCAACTTTCATCTGTGAGGGAATGATGTATGGAGTTGAAATGGTTGCCAATAGGTTTGTCTAAATGATGGGAGATGTTGAAACGATGACCATTGATTGTTTCTATCAAAGAATTTTTAGTTTCGCCTACGTATTGTAAAGGGCAATTGTGGCATGAAATCAGGTAAATATTGACTAGTGTAATTATGTAGGCCTGAGCTGCTTTGCTATTTCTCTGGTTTGATATTTCTAAGAATATTAAGATAACATCAATCTTGCCCCATCCAAGAAAAATATTCCTGTGTGAACAATAAGAAATACGTTTATTATTTGAAATATATGTTTACAGATGAAATAATTACAAAAATATGATCTTTATATTGATAAAGGCACAAATATTGACCAAATTTTCCTTAATAACTTGTTGAGCTGAAAAAAGTATTTTTGAATAATTAATTTATAAGGATTGATGTTCATGAAAAGACAAATGTGTATAGATAACATTTCAAAAGTTGAAAAAACCATACCACGTCAATTTGAAAAATCTACAATTATGCCTTGATGGTTTTATATGGTTTTAAGTGACATTTGCCACAAATTCTAATGTAATATATATCTCAATATAATATGTAATTTGAGTCCAAAATTACTGAATCACAAAAGAAACATCACAACAGAAAAAATGATTTCTATCACACTCCATATTGATATATGATTTATTTGGGTACATTGATATTACGAAGTTGTCACTGACTCACCAAAGCACATAGATCAAACCTGCTTACTTGGCAACACATCTTGTAAAAACATGATGCACATGAAAAACATTTATTCATTGGGTTAAAATGACACCAAAAACACAATTGATGATCAAGCACCCAATGGTCGATCCTTGTTAAAAAAGCACCTGTTGTTTCAGAATGGTTGCAGAGCAAGCCGTAAAAATTCACCACAGACCCAGGGATGTAGCTAGAAAAAATTAATAGGGGGCTAAAACTGCCAAAGTGAACTAAGCTATCAATATCATATCCCATATTCTGTCATGTTGATTTTATCAGCTACAACCCTGCACTCACCATTTGTGTTAAAGGAGGTCTATCAAACTGTGTTATTGAGTTGAAGCCAGAAGTCCTATCCTAACATGTCATCAACAAGCATGAGGCTAAACAACAAATAGCATTTCTATGAATAAATCATTTCAAATTGATTCTCAATATTGTGTGATGATAAAATTTATTTACATTGTGACATTTCTTTTGTGAATCAGTATATATAGTTATTTTCTATTAGATATATTCTCTATTCTTTTAAATCTCTAACATTTACTTTGAAAAAGACATCAAATATCTGATAAAGCCAGATTCTATTCAAATATAATTTGAATCCAGTTCCTCATCAAATATAAGATGATGCCAAAAAATCATTTATTAATTGATAAAGCAAGTTCCTCATTAAATATTTGAATGTCTGCTATTAATATTTTTCTGAAGTTGAAAGAGATTCAAGTTCAGTTATAAATTTTTGGATGACAGAAATTTCAACCACAACCATGAATCTGTTTATACAAATATCTTAATTTACAAGAATGAAAAAATGTTCAACAAAACTATTTTAAAGGGCGAACAAAATTGGACAGGATAAGGTCTTTGATTATAGCAATACTTAACTAGATATTGCAAAGTTTCCTGGCCTAAAGGGACAGGTGCTCACCATCGAAATTTGAGCCTTCGAATCCAGGTGTGTTCAAAATAATCATGAATGAATGTTAAAATGACGACTTCTCAATTTTAGATACTCTGTGATATATAGAAAAGACATATTATAGAAATAGTGAGTAAAATTCTTAGTAAAAATTATGCGATTTTTGTACATTTCTAGTACTTCTGAAGACTATTTACATATATTCAAGACTAAAATCAACCACCTAAAATGGATCACCTGTCCCTTTAATCAAAGTTTGAATTAATCAAAGACCAATATAACAATCACCTTTTTCAAACAGACAAGTTCATAGACATTTGGAATTCCAAAATAAAAATCTTATAAATAGAAACAACGAAGGAAAAGAAAGAATATTTAGACATTCAAAATTCATAATCTGAAGACTATCAAATTGAAACTCTTGACAATATTTGTACTAAATCAATAAGTTATGATTTTATAAAAGTTGAAAATATAAAAAAAAGTTATAAGTTGTCTATTTAGTAAGTACATATTTGAATTATTTAACTTAGGATAATAACACAACTAATGATCAAATTGTTCATAATCACATCAATAATCAAGAGATTGACAAAATGAATATATCCTCTTTTTACAAACCTGTGACTATATAATTACATTAGTAGTATATAAAGTATAATACAAATCAACAAAAACACAATATACACAAGGCCTGAATACTAATAACTCTTCATTCAAACCATAATTTCTTGAGCTCAATAAGAGTTTACAAAGAGTACTGACTTAGTTATACCAATTAACCTGTTTTTGATCTGTAAGAGAGGAACATTTGTATTTTGTGAAAGTAACATGGTCTTTATATTTGATTAAAAAAAGGAATGAAGCATAATTATATATACATATAAGCCTCAATAGTTTTATTCTCCCAAAAAGTATTTTTAGAATTGGGCTGAGATCTGGGTATAGCAGAACACTTATTACAAATTCAGGTCAGCATAAAAGTTTGTATGGTTAAGAACAAGTAAGAAAGAGAATTCCACATTTTCTCTTATTTCATAATATATTTATACATTCTCTACCTCTCATGACCTTTGTTTCTCAATGGTAGTGTATGCTGACTGATTCTAATCTGTGTTTGATGAAGGCTTTCCAGTGTGATCAGTTGCCTTCCCAATAAGAAATCTCATTAACAAATCCTTTCTTTTTACAAATAAAATTCTAAAGGTAAATATTTCAGTTTTCAGAGAATTGCTACTGATCTGTAATTTATCCAAACAATGACTGTAACATACAGCATACACACATTCTTATCACATTCATATATTGATTGATCAACACATAAAATCAGCACACTAACATAATGGTGATGGCATGTTTCCTAGGTATGTAATATTGTGAATAGATAAAATTTTATGACATTACCCCTTTAATTCAATCTATTATAATAGAATATTCATACTTGCAAAGTAGAGAACAAAATGTGTCTTATTTTCGAATAGCAACTCCTATAATGAATTTCAATTTGGTCATATAATATCAAGATTTTAAGTTTGATTATTGTCATAATGATCTACATGTTATCAGACTCAATTCTTTTTTTTTTATTCTGACGATTTTTTCATGTTCAAAGCTTTCAATATCTTTTCGTAAGAAATTTGTTTTTTCTCCAAAAATCATAACATGCAGATCTCTCTCCATGCATATATTTGTGATCTGCAAGTTTTGATCATATGAATTTTGAAAAATGTTTGTCTTGAATTTGAAAAGACAAAAGTGAAAAGAAAAATTTTAGCTTTTCTGTAAATTAATTTGATTTTCGTGTAAGTTGAGCATCTCCTTTGTTCTTGGAATTATGGACAGGAACACCATTAATGGGTTGTTCTGTATCACTAGAATCTGTATCATCAGAATCACTTCGTGCATCTTTCTTCACCTGCAATCAATTTAAGATCATTTTCTATCAATTTCAGTTATGTTATTTAAAATTTCTTAGGATTTCCTTGACAATGTAGAGAAATATGTAATTGGCCATTACAAATCATTGCCCGTAGAGTGAGCATGAGTCAAGTTTGAACGGACGGATGACAATATGCTTCCACACTATATGCGGGCAAATAAAAATCAAATGAATCCATAAAGAATTCTTGCTTAAAGTGTGAGCAAAAGTTGCACAATATAGCCAATGGAGTGAATACGCTAAGCTGGAAACAGCATTTCTGTGAAAACTTATCAGATCACCACAAGATATTGCAAGTAAAAGTACAAATTATAATTCACAAAACCAACTGACAAGAGAGGGAAATTAATCACTTTAAAATAGTTATGAAATATAATCAAGGAAATATATAAATCTACCTCTCCTGTTTGACATTTTTGTACAATTACTTTAAGTAAGTAATATGTCCACATGATGTGAAGTAACTGTAGTAATACCAGTAAAACAACAAAGATTTTATGGATAGGAAAGTGTCCAATATGTTCATGTATTTCTACTATTACACTATATAATGGCCTGAAACATACAGAAAATTACAATATAAGATGTCCTGAAATATATCATAAAATGCCCTGAATTATTGTAAAAAATAAATGAAATGAATGGAGTTGACGTCCTACTTTTCTGCACCATGTGGGCTAATGAAGACGGGCAACAACATGCAGGGTGCAATGACGGAAATTTTGTCATTTGCATTAGCCTGCTCTTTTTTGATTTCCAACTGTCGAAGGATCTTTAAAATGCACAGCCTGTAGCATACAGGGCCTCGGTTTATTGTCCCATCCGAACGACTAGATGCTTTTTCCAGCGAGAACCGGGTTGAAAATCCAAAGGTATTATCTCAACGTATGCCGGGATTGAACCCTGGACCTTTAGGTTAGCAAGCAAGCGTCTAACTCACTGAGCCACTGCAGCTCCCTCCTGAATTAGTGTAGTCAATCCCTTTGAAAGATATTATCAAATGGTGTGATAATTGTCAGTATAGAATTGCAGGTTGGGTATTACTTATACTTACACATATGGATAAATGCCTAATCTGGTCACAATCCAAACCAGAGCAAACATAGCAAAACAAAATTCACATAATTTGGTATATTTACAATAGTTTGTTATTTTAGCTGACTGAAAAAAACAAATCAAATCAAATCAAATAAAAGTATGTTATCACATATCATATCACTGAAACAATTACTGATTATCTTTACTTTATACAGTACATGATATACAACTCTCCAATAACTATATTTTCAAATACTGAAATATTTGATAATATTGGTCACACTTTATGCATCCATTTCTTTTATCAACAACAGCTGGAAGAGTACTGCAATTAAATAGTAAATACAATTACATAAAGAGCATTTAGTATGCTATAATAATAAAATAAACTTACAGCCAGCCAACCATCAGCTGCATCATGTAATAATAATATATAGGAGCCAACTCGTGTAAAACTGGCACACCATGATAAATATAATAATGTCAATGTAGCAAAATGATGGATAGTCATTTCATAGAAATCCTACAATGGAAAATAGTTCACAGTGCAACAGACACTTGTAACAAGTGGTTTCCTAGCAAAATACGCCCACTTTCCTGATACATTTTCAGTATATCAAGGGCAGTCACCTATCTGTGAATCATAACAAAAATAAAATTCTGACATAAACTGTCACCTCTATCATTAACAAATTTTGATGAGTTTTTACTAAGTCAAGGGCAATAACTCAAATTCTGTTGATCGAAAAATTGTCAAATTCAATCTTTACTAAGATCTCATCATTGTAAATGATAGCATCAAATTTCATTGAAATAGGATGAAAACTGTACTCTCTATTGTGTTCACAAACGAATTTTGACGCGTTTTTCATAACCAAGGGCAATAACTCAAAAAATGTTCATCAAAAGATAGCCAACTTCAGACTTGTCCAAGATCTCATCATTATAACTATCAACACCAAATTTCATTTAAATTGGATGAAAAAACAACTTTTGACACGTTTTTCATAAATCAAGGGCAATAACTCAAAAACCATTCATAGAAAGAAGACCATGCTTACTCTTTTCAAAACATGTGATAATATTTCTCGTTTGACACTACTATACATTTATTGCTCAAAATCATGCTTTGGATGAGATATTATGGTTTGCTTGTAACACATTTTTATTGTAAACTGAAGTAGAGCAATTCAACCTAGTTGACTATATCAATTTAAATTGTGATTTTTTTTTTGTCTTCCTTCACAGCTAGATATTTGTGAAGTTCTCATGGCCGTCTCTAAAACCTAATAACTTCAATTTCAAAGCCCATCTGAAATTTGGTGTCATAAATTGATATTGAAATGTTTTGATCTGAATTAAAACCCTGTGGTTCTGGTACTGTGCAAATTGTGTAAAAGCAAAGTATTTTTGCTGTTCATATTAGTTAGACTAGGACTTCCCCATCTCCAGTAAATACCTTTCTTTTTGTGTCTATAAATATAGTGAAAAGAAAAGACCAGTAGGCCCCCATTTCTATTAAATAATACCAATATATATCATTGTCTGTGGGCTGGGGCCAATCTTTCCAAAAATGCTGTGAATTCCATAACCAAGGCTTCTATAAATAAAAAAGACAAAATGAGAGGTGATACAGACAATAAAAAAACAAAATTGGAGCTTCTACAGCTCTCCAGTTTAAAAAAGCTCTTTGTTTTAAAGTTTAATACCCATTTTTCATCAATATTCCAGCTACATACTAAGATGTTCATGCAAAAAATATATCATATGCATGTTTAATCTGAATGAACAGTAATTCAAAGTTACTGAAGAATATCATTTTAACTTACATTTTTCATAACAACTATACCAAATATAAACAATGATACATATAATATAAAATGCCAACTGAAATATAGAGTGAAGATTCGTATCAAATACTAAATATTAGAACATTTGTGTCAACTTACAAAAAATTGCTATTATTGTCTGTACAAAGCATCTTATTAATACTTTAATGCAAATATTCTCTTGTAAGCAGCATTGATTGCAAAAAAAAATGCATATTTAACGACCTATTGAGAGAAATACAAATTTGTCTGAATCTGTCTTCAGTTACATTTTCAACAACACAAGGTCAATCTAGTATTTATACCTTTACTAGTTTGAAACTCATAAAATAAACATAATGGCAAAGATTAGGTTGATTAACCAATTAAAGTAAGACAACAGTAAATCGATGTTCCTTTGATCCCAGAAGATTTACAATACTGTGAATTGGATAAAAATTTAAAAGAGGTACCCTAATGATGATGTCTTAAACATTGCATTTATATGACTTATATGACTTTTGTTTGGTGTGTATCATAATCCAACGTCTTTAGTTATGGACAAATAAAAGATAGTTTGAAGCGTTTTTCCAAAGTCAAGGGCTATAACTCAAAAACCGTTCACCGAAAGATCGTCAAATTTAAACTTGACCAAATGATCACACCAAATTTCATTAAAATCAGTTGAAAACTGTAGTCTCTATTGTGTTCACAAGACGGACCGACGGACAGGGGCGATGGCAATATACGTCCACATTTCCATGTAGGCATATAAAAAACAATATTTGACACCATTGTAATATTGACCTGCTAAAGAGTCAAGGTTTAGGCAAGCATGTATCTAATGAATGATGTTGTCATTAAACTTACCAAACTTCACAGAATTTAAACATTGATGTTGGATTATTTTGATTTCTGCGTATCGACAGCCATTTAATAACATCTAATTCTCTCATATCAGTCTGTTTGGATATTTTCTGCAAAAAATTAGTAGTTTTGGAATTGAATATAGATAAAATGACTCATAGGTCTAATAATAGATATGGGATAGAAAGTTTATTTCAATTAGGACAGCACATTTTCCTTTTTCAATGACTCAAATGACATTGAATAAGAGTCTAGTTGTAGAGGCCCCAACAGATTGTAGGGTGAACATAGAGATCCAACCTAGAGAGTTATTAAAACCTATTCTTACCTCTATTTCTATTTCTGGTAGCCGACCTTTGTACTGATTAAAAGCCACTTCTAAGGATTCATTAGGGCTTAATTGAGGTTTAGATTCCTTGATTTTAAAATATCTTCCCATAGGTCTTAATAGAACACTAGTAAAAGAACAAAATAGAAGATATAGAAAGATATGATAGTGGCAGTGTATCATTCATTTATTATATTTCAACATTTAGGTTCATTATTCAAGAATAAACTTGCAATTCAAGATTACTAGAAATGGATGATTACTTTGTCCTTTGTCGATCAAATTTGCACTTCAAGCATAGAACATAACCATACGTTTATCTATTTCAAACTTTAAATTAATCGGGAGTAGTGAAAATTATGAAATTTTTCTTTGCCATTTCCTGAAGGCTTTCAGTGATTTGATTGGCTGTCAAGAACTACATACAATGATTACGGACTGCTTGTGAATTAGTAGTATTATTTTCTGTACTTATTGGCCAGACTAATCTTTAAATCTTATTATTACCCTAATATCATAGTTTCTTAATCAGTTTTAAGATAATTAATAAGCTTTATGAAACAGTAAAAATTATGGTACCAGTAGTTTATGGTAGGCCTACAACATGACAGTTTATTTACAGTCAAGTAACCTAATTTCGTGGAAACCTATTTTTCGTGGATTTCCAGAAATGTTTAATAATTTACATGAGCAACCTTGCGCGACCTCCGCATTAGTTTGCTTTGATAAACATGGGTTTTCTGTACAATGTCAGCTAGTAGAATGAATCCAGTAGTTTCAAGCAAGGTAAATGTATTCATGTATACTTTGACAAATACAAAATGGCGGATTTCACTTATTACCAAACGTCACCATTTTTTATCGGCCGAATTTCCTTATAATCCCAAGCGGTAATCGGAATTCCAAGTGTCGTCTGCTAGAATGTGGTCCAACTATGAAGTCACGTGATCAACTAGCGGATTCCGTGTCAGCAGAAAATTTCTATGGAACACAAAGTGGACCATATTCTTATGTTGTTTCAGTAACTTTTAGCAATAAATCACGCTACGTATCTTATGTTGTCAGTGACTATTTTTTTTTAAAATTGTGGTTCTTTGAAGGAATTGTCACTAGTTATAATGAATTGATATTAAAGATAAATACTAAGAGAAGTTAATTATACCACCGGGTATCCATACAACGGGTTTTTCTCGACTTATTTATAGATCAAACATTTTACACGAAAATAGGTGACGCATTCTGCCGCCGTTGCTCATGAAATATGGGTCAAAGTGAAGGATTCATAAAGAAAATCGACATAAACCAAATTTTAATTATTTTGTAGAATATCTGAGGAAACATCTAAGGCATAAAAATTTTTTTCGTTTTTTAACTTTGACGAAATTCGGTGTTGAATCCTTATATCCACGAAAATAGGTTACACCACTGTACTTCATGATGAGTTTGATGTAGTAACTTCTCTCTGACTAATACTACTGAATTGATTTTTTCATTTATTTCACAAAACTTTAAAATGATCAAAAAAAGTCTTATGTTGATCCGTAACTAATAACATTGTGACACTTGACATAATGTCTTTCTTGATAGCCTAATGTCAATGATTGATTGGTGGTTTCAATTACTCACATTTCACAAACAAATCGTACTACCAACAAAATCATCCCAACAACGACACACCAATGGATATCTTTGGGCTTTCCAAAATAAATATTCGGATCTTTGCTTTCCAAATCCGACCATTTCATTCCTTCTGGAAACCATATCGACGAATCCCAGCAATAATTATACACTTTGAGAAGAACTCCCTCCATGTTGCTTCTTCTAAACGGGTTTCGTACAATTCACTAAATTACGGAATGTCAGAACAAACGAATAAATATATATAAATTATATCTTTCTGTGAATTATAATAAAGACACCCAATTTGTAGGTAAATTGATGAATTCAGATCACAGTTGAAAGTAAAAATGCTAAAAAACCCTGAATGTTTTATGTGTAGCTTCGTACTTATCTTTTCTACTTTTTATTTTTAATGTAGCCGGGTATTTGTCCGAAATTGTTCTCCCTAAAATTTGTGAATGGACTACTAAAAATTGTCCGAAAATTGAACATGTTCTAACTGGTATTAAGAGTAACTAAACACACCGACAATACATCTAAAAGAATAGCCTAGTTGCAGCGGCAATACATGCTTTTGGTTTTTTTTTAAAGAAGTTGTTATGAAGAAAAGATATTTACGATTGATATAGAAATAAATCTGCCAGTTAAGGTGCACGCATGTTTTCCATATAAAATGGAGGAGAGTGGGCCTCACTGTGCCATCTGCATACTCTCTGGCCACATTGAGTTCTAAATTGAATTTTTTCTCTCGTTTCACAAATATTCAAAATATCATTTTCAAGTGCAATTGTCTTAGAATGCCTTTGGGTCAATGAATATATAAGTTTTGAAAATTTTGCACTTGAAATGAACACACTTCTCTCCAAGAAATTTCATGTGAAAATTTCACATTTTGAACTGAAAATCCCCCTCCGTAAGATCATGATTTCAAATAATTTTGTTTTCAATGGTTGACATTTTCATCAACCCAAAGACAATCTATAAGACTCTCAGCAATATTTGGAGGTAATCTACTATACGGACCTAAGTATCATTTTGATTATGTCGGGTATAGGCGATCACTAAATCATTTGTAAAGACTATCGGAAATTTTTCCTGCAATTCTTTGTAAAGACGAATAATTATTCGGGGAACTTGACCAGCTGTATTGCTGTATTGAATAACGAAAGGTATAATTTGGAAATCAAGTTGGATATGTTCATTCCTAAAGGATGCATGGTTTGTAATTTGTTTATCCAATAATTTTCGCGAATGAGTCGAATTTTCTTTAGGTTGATGTCAGACTAATCATGATTGAAACGGAAACTTAACGAATTTTTTGTCTCCCCAACGTATTGTTCGTCACATTATGTGCAAGAAATGAAATAAATGATACTTTTGCTGATGCAACTGAGTTTTTCATTTACTTGTAATATTGAATCTGTGTGTCTATTTCGGAAAGAATTAGTTGGTAAAATGAAGGGACAAGTTTGACAGCGAGGGATAAACTGAAGAATTTGGTATTGGCAAAAGAATCTATTTATTTTCAGCAACTGTTTGAGCTTTTAATACCACTAGCTCAAGAACCTTCTTGAGTAACCACGTTCACGCAATTTTTTGTAAACAATCGATCAAGCCTCCTCGAAGTCCTGTATGTTAGTATGTTCAAGTTAGTATGTTGAATATTCAAGTTGGTATGTTGAATATTCAAGTTGGTATCTTGAATTTTCAAGTTAGTATCTTGAATTTTCAAGTTAGTATGTTGAATATTCAAGTTGGTAACTTGAATTTTCAAGTTAGTATCTTGAATTTTCAAGCTAGTATGTTGAATTTTCAAGCCAGTATGTTGAATTTTCAAGTTAGTATGTTGAATTTTCAAGTTGGTATTTTGAATTTTCAAGTTAGTATTTTGAATTTTCAAGTTAGTAACTTGAATTTTCAAGCTAGTATCTTGAATTTTCAAGTTAGTATGTTCAAGTTAGTATGTTGAATATTCAAGTTGGTAACTTGAATTTTCAAGTTAGTATCTTGAATTTTCAAGTTAGTATGTTGAATATTCAAGTTGGTAACTTGAATTTTCAAGTTAGTATCTTGAATTTTCAAGTTAGTATCTTGAATTTTCAAGCTAGTATGTTGAATTTTCAAGTTAGTATGTTGAATTTTCAAGCTAGTATGTTGAATTTTCAAGTTAGTATGTTGAATTTAGTAACTTGAATTTTCAAGTTAGTATGTTGAATTTTCAAGTTAGTATGTTGAATTTTCAAGTTAGTATGTTGAATTTTCTATCAGGATCGGGCTTTTGCTCGAATGCCTGCGTTACAGCGCCTAATACGGAATCTTTGTCAATTTTAGTATATACATGCTTTGATCGTCTAAAGAAACTAAAAGGGCATTTTCTGGGGTCACGAGTTTCTTATTTCCGTTGGTGTCTTTGATATAGGCAAGATGTTTTGAGGCCAGCGGCAGTAAAAAGTGATCAATGTATTCTGATATCCTGTACTGTTCGCTTCCACAATCAGAAATTATTGGGCGTGCTTGTAGAATGTGGTCTTTCTCAAGTAAATTTTTCAAAATATTTGTAATGAATTTCTTTGTAGATCGGATCCAGCAAACGAGTGTAATGTTCAGGATTGCTTAATTGAGATTCGACTTCTTTAACATAATCCTGCCTATTTAAGATCACTCAACAACCGCCCATATCGCTTTTCTTGATTACGACATTCTTGTCATTTTTAAAGCAGTACGTTCCGCGTGAGAAAAGTTTGTCTTTCTCGTCTACTATAGGCAAACGAGATATTTCATCATTCAGGTATCTAAAATGCTTTTGTTTATACAACTATCCGCGGTATGTGAATTTTGATTTTTCTACAAACTTGGTGATCGGACCAAGAGAAGGCATGTTTCTGTAGAAATAGTTTAATCTTAAATTACTCTGGAATCTCTTTGTGGCTTCAATTAGTGGAGTATGTGACAAAGGTTTCTTGGTAGGTATAAATTTAAGGCCTGTATCTAAAACTTTTTGTTTATTTGGAGAGAGAACTCTAGAGCTTATATTAACGACTGTTTTTCCAAGCTGAAGACAAACATCCTAGGATCCTAGTTTAAAGGCACTGAGGAATCTGTGACGAAGTTCATCCAATGGTCGTAGATGGCTTTGACAGTCATTATGGAGTCCAATGAATGTGGTCTCCTCTGACTTTAATGATAGTATATGCTGTTGGATTAATGGTTGTATTTGGTGGAAGACTGCTGACTATCAAAGCATTGAATTTCTCTAAATTTTTACTATCGACTTTATTCTTCAGTTGAAAAGTATAAGGCCTAGGCTTATAGAGTGACAAGGGTTCAGCTTCTCGAGATTCCTCACATAGATAGGGCCAACACGATTCTGGCTACCTTGAGAATTGGTATCAGTGACACATTAACATGGACATTGTTCTTCACAATGGTCAAGGTATTACGTCTTCATCTTTTAACCTGACTGCAGTGTTTCATGACGTACTTACTAAAACGTGAACCGACCAGAAACGACCAGGAAACGACCTGGAACCGAGAAGAAAAACGACCAGGAAACGACCTCAATTTTGCAATGAATTCTAAGCATGTTAATCAGGCCGAAAAATCATCAATCATTTTTAAAAAATGTGCATTTTCGAAATAATGAAAAATTAAAGTGACCCCTTCTTGATGTTTTTAAATACCCTCATGTCAATTATCATTTTCCTGATTCTTCTTTTTAAGTTGGTTTTGAAGTTATTTAGGGGAATAGGACTGCGTTCATAATCTTTGCTATCAGTATAATGTCGTTTAAGACGAAATTTAAGTTGACCTTTTACAAACTTAATGAATTAGAGTGTCCCTTTAAACTTAACGGAAACACAATATAACAATTTTGTAAAATTTGTTATACAATATTATACATCAAAATGAATTGGTGTGGGTTATGTGCGTTATATCACAGTCAAAATGCACTCTGCTGGGAAATATGAAAGACAAGGTCATTAAGTGAACTTCTTCCAAATGCACATTTTTTAAAAATGATTGATGATTTTTCGGCCTGATTAACATACTTAAGAGTTTTTTGCCAAATAGTTTGAGGTCGTTTCCTGGTCGTTTTTCTGCTCGGTTCCAGGTAGTTTCACGTTTTCATTGGTCGTTTCCTGGTCGGTTCATGTTCTAGTAAGTACGATTTCACAAAAGTTTACCCTGATCCCTCGTCTGATCGGCTGTTTTGCTGACGTACAATCCAAACAAATTGCCAATTGTGAAATAAGGAATAAATCGTTAGACGATACAGACAATAAGACCCATATTTCGCCATTGTACTACAAGAATATATATCTACATTTGCCTGTCTGATCTGTTTCGCGTAAGCAAAGGTTTAGGGCCCATATAAATTGGGGTTTTTCAACAGGCGCAGCAGTAAGAGCGAAACGCGACATAGTCTTGAAGATGCTATGCGGATTCTTACATTGTCGTCGTTGGGCAGTGAAAAAAGGTTTTAATTGGGACAAAACAGCATTTAAATTAAAATATGTTTGTTTTAACATTGTACCATGTTACCATCGGAATCTTTAAAATCAGCATTACACCCTCCACAGTAGTTAGAACTGAAAAACACAAATTTTGTTGATTGAATTCTGAATAATAATGGTTTGGTTTCTGATTCAAAACATTCACTATAGGTAATATTTCACAAATCTTAATTCAAAACAAAAATGAGCTTTTGGCTCTATCAAAATGTATATTTCATGTTGGTGATCAATAAGAAGATGGAAAAATAACCTGGTAAACATTAACAAGATAATCGTGTTTTAAGATCAAAGCGGTATGCCTATACAGTAAATCACTTACTGACAAACAGCTTCAGGATGACCAGGACATTTAGCAAAAGTACATGGATCAACGAAACAATTTACTAGCATTCCTGTACAGTGTTTTTCCTTATTCAAGAAAAATCCATCTAAAAAGTAAAATGCATCAGAGAATGAGAATTCTCCAGACTGTGCATCAAAGAATACGTATGACGGGCGCTGAGTATGATTTCACCTGAGAAACACAAGCTGTGTTCAATACAGTTCTCTATAACCTTAACATTCTTATAAAAAAAATTAGCGAAAATGTATAGATCTACTAAATTAGACTATAACCAACGCATTCTGGATTATTTTATTATACTTACGGGATAAAGCAAAAGTTGCAAGGAGAGCGACAAGAAATAACACCTTCATGTTTTTAGATTTAGTAACTAAATGCTGTCTATAACAAAACTTTTCTCACCAAGATAAGACATCCATGAAATTTTGTCCTATATAATTTAAAATGGGATAGGCAGAGGAAGCCTTTATTGGCTAACAATTTTGTGGTAGTCTACAGGTTCGTCACGATTTGTAACACCTTATAAAAGGACAGGTGTTTTGGGGGGTGATTTTAGTCTTGAATATAATTATGTAGCCTAAATAGTCTTCAGAAGTACTAGAAATGTACGAAAATCACATTTTAAAATACTTCAAACTAGGAATTTAAGCTTACTAACTGTTTTTACAGTCAAGTAACCTAATTTCGTGCTAACCTATTTTTCGTGCATTGTTTAATAATTTACATATGCGACCTCGCGTGACCTCCGCATTTGCTTGTTTTGATAAACATTGGATTTCTGTACAATGTCAGCTAGTAGAATGAATCCAGTAGTTTCAAGCAAGGTAAATGTATTCATGTATACTTTGACAAATACAAAATGGCGGATTTCAGTTATTACCAAACGTCACCATTTTTTATCGGCCGAATTTCCTTATAATCCCAAGCGGTAATCGAAATTCCAAGTGTCGTCTGCTAGAATGTAGTCCAACGAATGAAGTCACGTTATCAACCAGCGGATTCCGTGTCAACAGAAAATTTCTATGGAACACAAAGTGGGCCATATTATTATGTTGTTTCAGTGACTTTTAGGAATAAATCACGCTACGAATCTTATTTTGTCAGTCCCTATTTTTTTCAAAATCGTGGTTCTTTGAAGGAATTGTCACTAGTTATAATGAATTGATATTAAAGATAAATACTAAGAGAAGTTAATTATACCACCCGGTATCCATACAACGTGTTTTTCTCGACTTATTTATAGATCAAACATTGTACACGAAACTAGGTGACGCATTCTGCCGCCGTTGCTGAGTTGGTTGCTCATGAAATATGGGTCAAAGTGAAGGATTCATAAAGAAAATCGAAACAAACCAATTTTGATTATTTTGTAGAATATCTGATGACACATTTAAGACAAAAAAAAAATTTGTTTTTTTTTAACTTTGACGAAATTGGTGTTGAATCCTTATCATGCACGAAAATAGGTTACACCACTGTATATAGAAAATTGTTATCCACTAAAGGCTTTAAAAAGCATCTTTCGGACTATTGGACCAAGAATTATCTGTGCTATTATTGGATCAGGGAGAACCAAAAGATATTCCAGGATTGTTTATTGATATCAGAGCCGTATATAGAGAGAGTCTGGCCAACTACGTCACAAGGCGCCATCTTGTTACCCTCTCTTAGCTACAAGACGGCCGACGTTATCCCTCGTAAACGCTCTAGAATTTACAGTTTTTAACCGATTTTGATAAAATACAAAAACACAAAAAGAAGATGATTTTTGAATTTTAGCACTTTCCAAATATTAACCCCCGAAATATTAAACCTGTAATCTTCCATATTAAAATAGGGCCTAGCTGTATATTCTACAGCTTTATGGAACAATAGGCTAATCACTAGTTATAGTTTATGAAACATATTGATAAGCAATATAATGTATAATATAATTCATTGTTTTTGATCAATAGGCCTATGTGCCTGACGACAGTTGGAGACTGTCAAAACGGTGCATAAACTATAACCAATGATTGTTGTTACATAAAGCTTTAGAATATAGTGAAGTTACTATAATGGACTGAACTCGATTTTTGCCGAAGAAATTTAGTCATCATGAAAATTGCTCAAAGCAAGATGTGCACTATGAATCGTTATCAACAGAAACAGGCCCGTAACCAGCCCAATGTGCCAAGGGGGGCGAACGCATTTAAACGGAGGCTGAAATAGCTGACAGAGACTGATTTCAGCTTCAATTGCGAACTTGTTTGTTTGCATCAGTTCCATGGTGGTTTGAGAGATGAAAGTGAGACAACCGGGAACAAACTCTTTCAACTTTGTGAATGCAACTTCGCTATAATTTGAAAGCGCACGGTCTAGATCCTCAACTGACTTCAAACAAATCTCACAATGGGTTCCTCGCTTTTTAATAGAATGAAGGCAATATCCACCCAGATGGTACAAGCTGGCTTCCTCTGGCGTACTGAGCGAGCTTAGCTCCAATATTTCATCCGGGATCATTTCGTCGTCAACATCGTCACTGGATCTCTGAGGTTTTTGTAAGAAATTGGCTAAGAATTCTCTGTCATCCTCCTGAAAACTACTGCCAGAGGGACATCTCATATATTGGGCTGTATTTTCAGCGACTGACGAAATTCTGCTGAAGTTGGAATAGGATTATTTGCCCGCACCGAACTGAATAAGTTCTCTAAGCAGTCCTGAGTAAAACGACTGGTAAGGACGAAGATATGACCCCTGTTTAAATAATCTTCTAATTCCGGAATTGAAGTCGATGAAAGAATAATTCCAGTTTGCCATGGCTTCCAGTGGCCACACTTCAAATTTGTGAACACATCAACTGCCTCTGTTAAGTGGTTCGTAGCACGATCATATGCATCCATATTGTTCTTACTGAGAGCCATCACTGGGTGGTGGCTTGACATGAGATCAAACCATTTGTCCATAAACTCCACAAACCAAGCAGTTGTCAGTAGCTGTCTGTCATATCCTTCATGATCGACTAAATATCGGAGTCCAGCACTAACAGATTTACTAAAAAAGTTCATGGCGGCCGAAACCTTCATTTTCTGGAAGTGTGAATCATTGATCTTTTCACTTGTCAGATTCGGGGCTAATTTTAAATCATCTTTATCTTGAAAGTCTATGAGACTTTTTAAGGCAGACAAACTCACAGTTGATGAAGGTAGATCATGTTTTTTAACTGTTTCTGCACTGAGGTGAAACTCTCGATTATTTACCAATGCTGCTTTAACGTTTTTGATCAGATGAGGAACATCATGCATGAAGTATAATTTTCTATCACCGGTCACCGGGTGTTCAATGCTGTTTACTGTTTGAGCATACTTCCCACAGTCGCATCAAAATAAAAATTATTTTTGTTTACATTGTTATGTTGTGCTCATTTATGGCCAGGGTTAACTTTGTGGCGAAAAGGCTTTCGTGGGTTTAACCCGTAGAATTGAGTAGAATTGGAGTATTTCACATTCATAAAAAAACATAAATCGATCGAGGAAGTGTAGGCCTATCAGAAATGTTGTTGACAGTGTCTCAGAAGCCATAGTGCATGCTCCTCGTCTAGGCCTAGGCTTAGATAGCCAGTGCGTGGAAAGAAATCCTCTCACAAAGTTTCCATATCTATTATATCCTGTTTTTAGACCTGAACATAACACGATTTGCAAAACCCCTGAAATCATCGAATGTACTTACATCGCATAGAAAAGAGTTGTCGTGGGGAGTCCAGTCGGATCGTTTGACCTTTACTTCCCATTCTCTGCGTCTCCTTTTATCCTTAGGGAACCTGTGCATCACTACACCTTCTCCAGATTTTACAGAGCATTTCCATGCCACACATCGAGGCATTCTGTTGCCAGACATGACCAGGAATTAGGCTTAAACAACGTCAAGAATACCTATGTCTATACAAAAACACAAAAAGAAGATAAATTTTGAATTTTAGCACTTTCCAAATATTAACCACCGAAATATTAAACTGTAATCTTCCATATTAAAATAGCTAGGGCCTAGCTGTATATTCTACAGCTATATGGAACAATAGGCTAATCACTAGTTATAGTTTATGCAACATATTGATAAGTAATATAATGTATAATATAATTCAAATTGTTTTTGATCAATAGGCCCGTGTGCCTGACGACTGTCAAAACGGTGCATAAACTATAACCAATGATTTTTGTTACATAAAGCTTTAGAATATAGTGAAGTTAGTATAAAGGACTGAACTCCATCTTTGCGAAGAAATTAAGTCATCATGAAAATTGCTCAAAGCAAGATGTGCACTATAAATCGTTATCAACAGAAACAGGCCCGTAACCAGACCAATGTGCCAAGGGGGGCGAATGCATTTGCACGGAGGCTGAAATAGCTGATAGAGACTGATTTCAGCTTCAATTGAGAACTTGTTTGAATTTTTTTTGGCGAAAATAATTCAAGGGAGGCGCCGCCCCACCCCACTCCCCACCCCTGCCTCTTTTACTTGTGGGCCTGAACAGAAAAAGGCTCATTATTCAGTTTCAATCAGCACAATTTATTTTATGTCATGAAGGCATGAAAGTTATATCACACCACTCAATAATCATCATTTCAGCTTTGAAACCATTTTGCTTCAGCTGGCGGCTGTTGTCCTGGCGATCTGTTTCTCTTTGACTGTCGTCGAAGTGATTCTGGAAGAGAAACCAAAATTTACACAAGTGACTGGCCCAAAAGACTTAGTGTTCACATTATAGTCTAGACCCACAGTCTACATTGCCCTTCCATATTTTTCTGCGAATGTCAATAATGAAATAACATAAACAATGGTGGCGTTTCATTTGATCTCTAAAGGGGGTGGGGTAATACTGATAGGCATTTAGGAAATCAATGATATTGATAGGGAGAAGGGTGGTGGTGGGGGGGTTTTGGGTTGAAAATCAGGACCAGCACAAATATTAGGATTAGGAGCCATGGCCCCTTGCCTCACCATACAAGCACCAATATGGCGCACACCTTTAAATTATACTGTTTGTTTTGGTGATTGGAAGTAAATAATAATAAATACTAAAAAAGTAAATAGTCTTAGAATTTCACATTTATAGAAAAACATAAATCGATCGATTATGTGTAGGCCTATCAGAAATGTTGTTGACAGTGTCTCAGAAGCCATGGTGCATGCTCCTCGTCTAGGCCTAGGTTTAGATAGCCAGTGCGTGGAAAGAAACCCTCTCCCAAAGTTTTCATATCTATTATATCCAGTTTTTAGACCTGAACATAACACGATTTGCAAAACCCCTGAAATCATCGAATGTACCTACATCGCATAGAAAAGAGTTGTCGTGGGGAGTCCTTTACTTCCCATTCTCTGCGTCTCCTTTTATCCTTAGGGAACCTGTGCATCACTATACCTTCTCCAGATTTGACAGAGCATTTCTATGCCACACATCGAAGCATTCTGTTGCCAGACAAGACCAGGAATTAGGCTTAAACAACGTAAAGAATACCCAGGCTCCTACGCCTAAACGTCGCGGGAAGGGTAACAATATGGCGGCCTTCAATCACGTGACCGCTCTGCGCCAATCATGGTTCAGCGCGGCGAGATCACAAGTTGGCCAGACTCTATATACGGCTCTGATTGATATAATAAGAATTTATTGTAGTCTGAAGTATGTTGTCGCGAGTTACGCCAAACAGAGTTACGTGGCAAGATGGCTGGCTGGGCTGGATTTACCGATGAAGACCTTAGAAAAATGCGTCAAAATTCGCCAGACAGAGGTAAAAAGTGGTTTATTTTGAAGAACTTATTACGTATGTTACGACTCAAACAATTCATTGCAAAATGTAGTCGTTGTCTTCATCTATGTAGATTGCATTTTGGAGGTTTCGTATTTTTGAAGTAGCCTATTTGTTGTTGTCAGACCACAATTAAACTCTATTCTTACTAGGAGGTATAAAAAACCTCATTTTGAATGAATTTGAAATTAAACCTTGGAGTTAATGTTCAATTTATGAAATGACAAGGCTACACTCATACATCATATTAGGGCTGCAACGATTCACCGATGAATCGATGATCCGCGATTCTTCCCTTCTTATCGATGCATTGCATTGGATAAAAATAATCGTGATGTATCGGGACGATTAATTCTTAGTCCCCTTTAATAACAAATCACACAGAATCCTTGTGTGTATAAGAAATTGTGTCATGTTTTCATTTTCCAAGTATGATTTTCACATCAAAATTTGCAAAAATTCATTTCTGACTTTAAAACATGAGATTTTTTTCACAATTCCTTACTTTTAAATGTTCTCAAGTACCTCATAGTGACAAACTTGATAGTAATTTGACTAATTTCTACTATTTTTTCTCTTTCCTTCTCTAATAAACGCATCGCGATAATAATTGCAATAAATTGTATCGTTGAATGAGTAAGCTTATCGTATAGTGTATCGAATCGCAACTTCAAGAATCGTTGCAGACCTACATCATATAAATAATTGAAGTAGGAAATGGAAGTTTTGATGAAATAGTTTAATTAAGAGAAAAAGGAAGACTTACTACTACTGTACTAGTAATACAGGGATACAGTCATCATCTGAATTGAATTCACAATCTTTTGTCCCTACTTTTTTCGGAAAATGTAGATCTTTGGGAACTGTAATCGCTTCAGCATTTAGCTACAGAACTGATAGTCAAATTAGATATTGGGTTAGCTTGTTATTGGTAGTACTATTAGCTGTTATAGAATCATATCTATCAATGTTTTATTTTAGGGAAAAGTATGACTGGAAATAAGAGAATGTCATTACAGAATAAAAAACCCAAATTACCACACAGAGAAAAAATAATAAGAGAGATCCCAGAGCAGAATAATCTTCATCCAAATCAGAGACTGTCCAGAGCAAGAACTCCAGAAATAGATAGGTCTAAAACCCAAGAAACAGAACTGAAAACAGAAAAGAAGTCTGATCAAAAGTCACTAGGTTCAAATGATACAAATCAACCAGCAGATATCAAGATATCAGAAACTAAGAATCCTGAAAGTCGAGAGCTGGATGATGAAGAAGCTAAAAAGTAGACTTGAGTTTATATGTAGGGTGGGGTAGATTGGAATGTTTCTAATGCTGAAGTAATTTTCTGTAGTTCAGGAGTATTGAATGTTGTTTACATAAGCAATTTAATCCTTGACTACTCTATTTAATCATGCAGTCGTTTTTATTTTTATCAAAGTTCTAGACTACGGGACATTTTGACTTGACTGATTGAAATTGACAAATGAATATCTTGTAAATATCTTCCTAATTGATAATTTATGATAAACTTGATACTTACTTTTTTCTTTTTTCAGTGTTGAGTTAACTAATATGGAGAAGTTTCAGAAACAACAGAAAATGATAGAGGAAGCCAATAAACAGAAAAAAGCTCTACTTGCTAAAACATTAAATGAAAGGTCAGGTTTTTTTTTTTTATCTATTTGTTATCTAGTTTGTATACTTATATGCATAGAGAAAAGCAACATCTGCCTTAATAGGAACAATAAGTTTTTCATTGTAGAAAGCTCACAATTTTGGGCTTAAAATATTTTGAACATTAACCGATTATAGGTTGAAAAATGACATCAAAGCAAATAGGGATTTTAGCTATATTAGATTACCATTACTGTAATAATGGTGGTGGTTCACTATTATATTGTAAGCTTTTTGATTTTTAGGAGATTAAGAGCCAAAGCAGAATCTGCCAAGTTAACCAAGATTCAGAAAGAATTGAATCATCTAGATAGTTTATTGACAGCAGACGTTAGTGTTATTAGAGATAAAATAGAGTTGGCCAGTATAGAGTTTCTAGATGCTCAGTAAGTAGAGTTGTCTCCCTTATCACTTAAAAACCTGGTGTGACTCAGGGTAACCAAATTTACAAGATATACTGTTGGAGGTACCTGTTTCAGGTATTCAATAAAATTTAAATACATTCTCTGCATTCAGTTTTCTGCAAATATGAATCTCCTTTAAGAAGGTCTTTTTATGCCCTCAGTGACCTTTTAGTGAGTTCATGGGGTTGCCTACTAAACACAGGGCTAAAGTAGTTGGCATAAATAAGTGAGTAGAGTTTTCTGCCTTATTTCACTTCTGATTTCAATTTGTCCTCGGAAGATATGCCACATGATATCTATAGTACTCAATAGTTTCTTTCTTGCTCTTGTGATTAGAAGATATTCACAAACTTGACGGAACAATAACCTGTTATGCCAAAAGAAATACCATTCTTGATATTTAATTCCAGGAAGAGATATGAAAAAGCGGAAAAAGAAGTGATTTCATCTAAAATGAATTTATTTGAAAAAGGTGAAACGAAAGAACGTTTAACTGAACATTTATATACAATCATTCATCAGAATGAGGTCAGAAAGGCTAAGAAGTTAGCAGAATTGATGGAAATTTTAGAAATGGAAACATCAGCTGAAGAAATGGAACTACAGGCTCCCTCTATTCCAACTTTAACAAACTTTAACTCTGTACATACTATCACCAGCCCAACAAGAAAACTTCCACATTCTGACTCCAAATCTGAAAACCAACCAACAGATCCCATGACTCATTCGAAGCAAACAACTAATCCTGAACAAATCACAAATCCTGATACCTCTGTCAAAACACCTGAACAAATCTCAAATCCTGATACCCCTGTCAGAACATCTGAACAAATCTCAAATCCTGATACCCCTGTCAAAACAACTGAACAAATCTCTCAAACCGAACAAGCAGAATCTCAAATTAAAACGGTGCAGACAGAGTTAAAAGCTAAGGGTGATAATATAACACCCTGTGTTCAACCTACAGAAAATAATAACACCAAATTGCCTCTGACCACAACAGAGTCACAACCAGAGTCAGAAGTATCGAAGTGAATGCAATAACCTTTCATGTTTAAGAGCAACAAATTGTCAAAATTCATACAATTTTAAGGACTTGATTAAGAGGAAAATTCCTTTGCTAATAGTTGATCCATTTGTTGCAAGTATGTTCCAACTTGCATTGAAATAAGTTGCAACTTGCATTGAAATAAGTTGCAACTTGCATTGAAATAAGTTGCAACTTGCATTGAAGTAAGTTGCAACTTGCATTGAAGTAAGTTGCAACTTGCATTGAAGTAAGTTCCATCTTGCATTGAAATGATGAATAAATTCGACATTGTTAACGACAAAGAACACACTTCCAATTTTCTACTTTGATGATTGTTAATGTTATATATTCATAGATAGTATTTTAGACAATGAAAAGTAATTTAACTTGATTCCTTGTAATCTAATGATATGGCTTAGCACAGTGACAGAATGGTATCAGGTGTTTGAAATATGCACTGAGGTAAATAAAATGTGATCGAAATAAATGTGATACATGAATTACATGTGTGCATCCAGTATGCACATTTTGCAGCAGAGATGCTCCTAATATACGAGTTACACGTATTACTTACAATAAAAGAAAATGGAGATATTTATGTATATAAAAGAGGTTTTTTTTAAGGGATATCTAACTAGGAAACCTAGACTTCTAATCCAGCCTTCAGAATCTTGTGTCCTAATGAGAAAATATATTAAATTGAATACTAAGTTGTGATCTGCAACGCAATGTGGGTATTGAAGGATGCACATGAAATATATTTTTGGATGTTTTTTGTTGCCATATTCTATACTTGTATACTCTTGTATCATGATTATTCATCCGTCCAGTTGATATTTGTGAATAGAGGGTTAATTTTAAATGTTTTTTTTAATTTGGTTAATTGAATATAAATGGTTATTATAAAAGATTCATCAAGGGTACTTAATTGTTATTTTTATTGTTATAATGAATTCCTTCTGAAAATTATGCATTTTCATTGTTGTAATATTGTACGAAATATTGTATTGTTATAAATTTGTGTACAAGTTCTTACAAATCAGGATTTTGATAAATTTTTAATAATTCATGTGTAAGAAAGTGTTGGTAATGGTAGAGCATGGTTTACATTATATTATCATTTGAAGTATTTTACTAGACTTTTTGTCCCATTATACTATGATTAATTACATTAGTTACCATTTCATTATCTGTGGTCTAATTATTAACTCACCATATGATGCAATATTTTTACAAGTATGTTTTCACCATGTGTTCAACTAATTAAATATTTATTATGTTTCTCAGTCTTTTTTCAACAATCAAAACCAGCAAAGGAGATGAAACTGCAATATATATCCCTGTGCTCTTAGTGGGGCAAGTACTATATTCCTAGCGACAAATAGACAATGGTGTATGATATTGAGTTGCAGTAATGAAAGTGGTCGGTTGTCAGAATTTGTCTGAGGAGCATGCCCATGTAAATGGTTTTTAACATTGTCAAAATTCTCAAAAACTAACGACCCAAAAGTGACCCAAAAGTGAGTCGGGTTGAAGCAACTCCCAAAAAATTTTAATATTAATGTCAGCTGCTCCCATCCGTATATCACCATTATTATACGAAAAGAGAAAGATTTTATAAAATGGACGTTGTTTATTGCATTTTCACATTAAATCATTGGGTAGTAAAAACATTGTAAAATTGTTCATAATTTAGGACAGAATTTCTGAAGGACACTTTTGGCTTTTCACACAAACAGCATTTTATATATAAAAATATACATAACACATAAAATACAGAAAAATATAAACAATTAAAATAATATATACATCTTTATAAATATTTATACAGATTTATACAAAAAGATATGTTCATACATTGGAAAGTGACGTCATGACATGGCACTTGGTTTTTTTTTTTGTCATAGGCAAGTCATGGTTAATAGAATAACATGTTACAAAGCAAATTCTTCATTCAATTTCGCTTCCAGAAGTAAGGTTTATTTTAGAGCAGAAGACTTGGCCTACCCAGGGAAAATATATAGATAAAAATAAAAACCCAAGAGCCATATCTAACTAAGGACGTATGTTGGAATAAGTTTAGTCAGATTTTTGACCGACTTTCCCCCCGAAGTTACATAATTCTAGTTATCTTAAGTCGGTCATTTCAGTTACGGAAATTCATTAGAAGTGGGAAAAAATGGAAAATGTTGATGAAACTGGACGGAAAGTTTATGAAAGTGTTTGGTGTGTTATCAATGAACCTGAATATTTAGGGTGCGAATTGTAGGATTTTGTTTTGTATATATGGGCTGTTTACGTTACCGCACTAATAATAATTTGTGACAACAGTTTTATGAATTGGACACAGAGCTTTTGGACACATCACATCAATGGCCTGTGAGAAGAAGTTAGGCTTTAAAAACATAAGTTTACATATGAATTTGGTCAACACATATTAATCTCAACAGATGGGTTCATAGTATTTCTTTCGATTTCAAAGACTTAACATATTTGTTGAAATACTTCTCCATTGGTTTCCAAAAAGCTCATCCACAAAACAGCTGTTTCCCGCGCGTGGTAAAATCTGGTACGCTAGCAGACGAGAGTCCAGCTGTCTGACGATTGCGCTACAAAATGTCTTTTCAAGTCAATTATCAACCAGATTGGGACATTTTTCTGAGGTTGTTGGCAATCTTAACTTCGCTGTTGGAGAGCAATAAAACACCCTGATAAAACGGTAAAAATGGCGGAAAAAATATTATTCGTCTGTTCTCACGTCAATCTCAGAACCTCCATAGTCTCGGTTAACAAAACTCACATACACAATCATAAATAAATACATCTATCACTGGATTATCGAGGCTTCAAATATTAGTCTTGGAATACATAATCAAGATAAACGTTAGGTCTTTACAAAATCCGATATACGAAGTGAAATATGGTAGGCCCTACCTCATAATAAAATCTTGATTGATATCATTTTGATCTTTGTGACATTCGAGTTCGAGATTAAGATTTCTCCTAAACCTAGATTAACGGAAACAAGCACTTTTTGGATAGCCAACCTTTTTATGTCATAACAGGGCGTCAATAGCCTAAGCGTTTATGAAGCAGTCAAACACTGGGTTGACCTGTAAACTTATCATCCGTTCTTTTGTGGTACACTTGTGATGATAGTCCTTTAGATCAATTCCACATTCCGAAATATTATTTTAAGCTTCGGCCATTTATTTCCTCAGTAGCCTACCAGCGACTATTCACCTGAAAATATAAATGGATAATATTCGTGAAAGATTTCATGTTAAAATGTTTCAGAAGACGAAAATTGACAAATACTCACCTAGAATATAGATTAAAATGACAGTAAAAAAGATTTTCGATTCAAACAGTTGTTATCTTGACAAACGCATAAGATCAGCAAAAGTCTATGTAGTTCAAATAAGACAAATTTGAGCAAGTGCTCATGTTACTTAGAAAAAAAAAGCTTTTCAGAAAGAGTGCGACCTTTGACACCGAATGAAAGAAAATCCTTTAATCTCCTTTATTTACTGTAGCATTAATTTCACCGGAAGTAAGATTTAAGGTCAAATGATTTGACCTGGTGTATTTTTGACATGACAAGTGGGTACAGGTGTTGCCTTAACGACCGGATATCATTTCAAAAACTTCCAGTTAATTCTGTAGAATAGTTATAGAGTAGCATTTGGTATATAATCCGAGCATTCTTTTCTTTTATGTATTGAATTGAACAGTGGAATGAGAACTTTATACCAATTGAATATTATATATATTTATAAGTCTGAAATGTTATATAAAGAAGTAATGATTATACTAAAGAAATTTAAATGAATAAAATAGAAGTTCAGAAACTATTTATTTGTCTTTGTCATTTATTAAATAACTATGGACTACCACAAATAACTGTTTAAACTGCCTACTCAGTTATTAGGATTATCATTTGGATACTATCATCACTTGATTATGTTCTAGAACACTCTTATCAAAGACAAAATTCACAATTCAACCGAATGGGCGATCTTCAACTGACACATTTCGGACTATCTGTCGAGTATTAATGAATAGCAATAAAAACCCGCGTCTATAAAAACTCATTATTGTGCTGATAGAAACCTTTGATGATTTGAGTATATTCTGATTAATAGAACATCAGCTTAATTTGGCACCAAGATGGAAGTTGTAAACATTATTCCTGTAAATTGCATTCTCCACAACTCAAAGAAAGGAATTTTTTCTCAAGGTAATGGGACTATTAATTTCCAGTGTTGTACTAACTTAAAGAGATCTGGTCCTTTAAACTTTTGAATATTGGCTAAATAAATCATATAAATTGATTTCAGATCACGAATTTAGAATTATCTCTCATAATTCCAGGCTTTAACAGGCAAAGCTACTGAATAATTCGACAATTTGATTGGTTGAATCATAATTTAAATTTGAACTCGCGATCTACATAAGTTCAAATACAGTGAGTTGCCGTCGTAAAATATTTAATAATGGGTAAAAATCTGTATTTTACAAATGTGACCTAGGCCAGTGCTTCTATAGGAGAGTATCTTCTATAACACCTATAACACAGAATATTACTAAAAGGCTCAATTTAGCATATTGTCCGTAAGGAGGTAAGTTGGTGAAGCTAGGCGTTCAGGTTGGTTTGTTTTCCCAGGGAAGGAAAGAGAAAGAGAGAAGTATTAGGTTTAGAGGAAAAATAACAATTAATTAGCGAGTGTAGCTTTAACCAAACAAACTACCAACACCTGCAGGCATTGAGATGAAGGGAAATCCCCGGCTTAACTACCAAAATCTTGGCATTTCCACTCTTATATACATGATATCATGGCACTAACTTTTCATTTCTCAGACTTAGATAAAGTTAGTCTTCTTTACAAATATTAGAAAGTTCTGGACAAATTGCTTAGATTTTAAAAACAAACTGAAGACAAACTTAATTGGAACGTTCATGCAAATTTAACAAAATATTTGGAAATCAATATATTGAACAATGCGTATTTATGAATATATTTAAATTCTTGACCTAATTAGGCTCATTACCTTGAAAAAACCCAAGTACCCTTCCCAGATAAATCTAATATCCCCTTTTCTAAATAATTAAAATCATAATGTTCAATAAGAAATTATTTAACAGAAATACGGATACAGTATTAATTGTATCTCATACCCCTACCTTACAGTACCCCAACCCCTGAAAAACCACAACTGAAATTGTAAGACAAGACGTCAAGTATAAAGTAAGAGAGAAAGAAGTTTGTATTTATTTTAGAATGATAATATCTTGTAAATAGAGATAAGATAAATTCCTCGCGTCATTTTCTAGTGTCATATTTCAACTAACTTTAACTACATAGATATTAACGATCTATTTAACGAACTACACATATACTAACGATCTATCTAACGAACTACACAGATACTAACGATCTATCTAACGAACTATACACATACTGACGATCTATCTAACGAACTATACACATATTGGCAATCTATTTAACGAACTATACAGATACTGACGATCTATTTTACGAACTATACAAATACTGGCGATCTATTTCACGAACTATACAGATATCGACCATCTAACGAACTATACAAATACTGGCAATCTATTTAACGAACTATACAGACACTGACAATCTATCTAACGAACTATATACAGACACTGACAATCTATCTAACGAACTATATACAGATAGTGACAATCTACCTGACGAACTATACAAATACTGGCAATCTATTTAACGAACTATACAGACACTGACAATCTATCTAACGAACTATATACAGATACTGACAATCTATCTAACGAACTATACAAATACTGGCAATCTATTAAACGAACTATACAGACACTGACAATCTATCTAACGAACTATATACAGATATTGACGATCTATCTAACGAATTATATAGATACTGACGATCTATTTAACGAACTATATACAGATATCGACGATCTATCAATATATATATATGTATACAAATTACATTGGTATTGACGATTTTTCCTCTAAATATTGAAATATCATCAAGGTATCTATTTAACGAACTACACAGATACTAACGATCTATCTAACGAACTATAAACATACTGACGATCTATCTAACGAACTATACACATATTGGCAATCTATTTAACGAACTATACAGATACTGACGATCTATTTTACGAACTATACAAATACTGGCGATCTATTTCACAAACTATACAGATATCGACCATCTAACGAACTATACAAATACTGGCAATCTATTTAACGAACTATACAGACACTGACAATCTATCTAACGAACTATATACAGACACTGACAATCTATCTAACGAACTATATACAGATAGTGACAATCTACCTGACGAACTATACAAATACTGGCAATCTATTTAACGAACTATACAGACACTGACAATCTATCTAACGAACTATATACAGATACTGACAATCTATCTAACGAATTATACAAATACTGGCAATCTATTAAACGAACTATACAGACACTGACAATCTATCTAACGAACTATATACAGATGTTGACGATCTATCTAACGAATTATATAGATACTGACGATCTATTTAACGAACTATATACAGATATCGACGATCTATCCATATATATATATGTATACAAATTACATTGGTATTGACGATTTTTCCTCTAAATATTGAAATACCATCAAGGTATCGGTCCTAGCCAATCAGTATGGGGTCAGATTTTTAAGTCATCATCTGAGTTATTTCAATGTAAAATAGATAGAAATTTAACGATTTCCTGGTAGCAGGGTTTTGATCAAAGCATTTCAACTCACTGAACCATTGAGTGTTGGTTATTAAACAGAGTGTATGATTTGGCTAGTTTTCTAATATCTCACTTACAATAATATAGCATACGACTGATAGATTTCACATACAACAATTTTTTCTGACCGATTGTCATTTTCTGGTTTTAAACAAATCCGTCACAATGACTTAAAATATTGCTATCTGATAACCGGGTCTATATTTGTGTAGTGTACAGTTCTAATGTGCAATTAACTTGGTGTATTTTGAAATATATAATATTATATTAAATACTAAAACTGAATAAACTTTAAACAGTAACATAAAACCAAAATTCACTTCTCAATATTGATAAGAAATGGATACTTTAGTTCATTTTTTTTATGAAAATGGTAAACACAAATGTTAACCTTTGACAAGTTTGGTCAGAAAGAGATGCTTCGTACTGACATCGGGTGTTCTGAAAGGATAAGCATGGATCACTTTGGTGTCCATGCTTCCAAAATTTCTATTCATTTTTATCATTTATTAGGAAAAAGGGACCAACTCTACTCAATAGTTAATTTATTCTTCGTATTCTATGATGTCACTGTTACACAACACACAATACAACTCTGCGACTTTATTTGTCAACCCGGTAGCCCTTTTAAAAGTCCACACAACTAATAATGTTTATATAGAAGATTTATAGGATTCAATTTTAAAAGATAATTCATTAGTAGGTACAGGGCACCTTTAAACGTGTACACGAAAATGAGATATGTTAGAGGTCTTGCTTAGTAATAATTTACGACTGGCCGTGATGAGAAATCCAGAGACAAGTTCTTAATATCATGTTGTTTCTATGAGAATTCCAGATTCTAACATTTACATCCTCGTTATCCTTCATCAAATCATCGCATTTTACATTTTCTTTTAACTTTCAATTCACCCATCAAATAAAACCCCCTTAACCGCTTTACAGTGAAGTGCATATTTTTTGTTTTATCAAGGTCCCTAATATTTGGACGACTGGGCACCTGATGAAACTCAAACAGCAAACGTGCTTATCAACTAGGTTTTAGTGTTAAAGGGTAACAAAAACGCATTACATTGATATCCAATGCCTTTTTAAATATAACTGTGGCGTCTCATCTATTTAAATATTTTATAATATGGAATAATAAGAAGTTTAAGAGCCCTATCAACTTTCTTTGTTTAAAAACAATCGAGTGTTATCTACCAACAGAAGTCTGCTCGTTTATCAACCAGAAGTTTGTTTCACATCAAGTAGCCTGAGAATTCTACTAAATTTTAACAATATATTTAAAGAGAAGGTTGTGAATCTTTATTTTTAAAAGTTTTCTGCAGTGAAATATTTGATGTGAATGGATTGTGTTTGACTATGTTCTTTAAAGTGCGATTTTGGTATTTTTTTGAAATCGTTGTGATTTTGTTTCTGATGAACAAGGAAACGTCCCTATTAATTATCATTTAAAAGATCGGATCTGTAGATCTAATGAGGTTTTGGCCCTTTAAGTTAACTAAGTAAAGCTTTGTTTTGTCAAATGAGTTGTGTTTTCTGAGAGCATCATTATCATTTCTAAAATCTTCCTCTACCCTATTTATTATCTTTCTTCTGAAAATTGATGCCTTAAACATTTGTCTTTAGAAGTCATTTTTCATATTTTCTACATTTTTGACAGCTCTTTTAAGAGAGTTTTTTGTTTTTTGCTAAAAAGTTTAACAAGATAAGTATCTTTGTTACTTGACTGTCTTGAATTTGTTAGTTGTTTTACTTAATATAACCCTTTGAAATTAATACTACTATTAAGATGAAATCATTTTCGTTACATTTGACTCATTGTTTTCGAGTGATTTCTTAATCAAAAATAATTTGAAAATAGAAGTAAATGATTTCTATCTAAAGAACAAAATGAGGACACATTTGTCAGATTTAAACAAAATGACTTTTTGCCCGTATAACTTATTTAACTCTCTAATGGGGTGGGTAATGATTACCTTTAAAGAGCACTTACTGTCACTCTAACAAACTTATATATTTGGAATATCTATGCTAATTGATTCAACAAGTAGTTTTTAAACTATCTCACCTTTGATTTACTGACGAATGTCAATGTCCCGAAACATTCCATGCTCCTTCCATTCTCCACACTGAAAATGCATAACTTAGTCTTTCATGGGCTACATAGTTACAACTTGTACCTCCAGGGGGAGATTTGGTATCAATCAACTCATCGTTCCGCAACACTTGGTATAAAAAGTCGATATATCGGGAAGCGAGTTTTAATGTCTGCATTTTACTGAGTTTATCGGAAGGTAGAGTTGGAATAATTTGTCGTAACTGTGTAAAAGCGTCGTTTAAGGATTGTGTTCGTTGTCGTTCACGCACATTGGCTGTAACACGCTGCTGTTGAAGTTCTTCATAATTACCAGGAGATTTACGACGTTGTCGTTTTGCCTTACCACTACTGTCAGACGTAAGAGATCGTTTTCGAGACGAACTGTCTTTGGAACTGTCCATAGAGTCCGGGGAAACTGAACCTAAACTGTAATCTCCCTCGCCACTGTACATTCCCTCCCCAGTTCCATAACCTTCTAATGAATGATGATAACTGTTCTCCGACTGATCACCTTCTGACCGCGATTCTTCGGATTTTAAATACGTGTCCTCAACTTTATTCTGATCCATATTTAACAGAAGGGTTGTCTGTTCCGGCACCATCATTTAAAACACAACAGACTAACCTACAAGTTGCACTGAATTTTTAAGCTCACCAATAAGACGTTTGTCAATTCCAGCACAAGTTTTGAACTTTACAACAATGGTGGATAATAGTATTGTTTAGTTATGTATATTTTTAGAATCTCGCGAATTTCTGTAATACACGGTTCCACGATGTGAATAATGCAATAAGCTTCACCCAAAAGAGTTTCTAAATCTAGCACAAACACACTCAGAAGTCGTCTTGCCTCTTACTTTATCGGCCAAACATATCTAGAAAAGGTCACCATTTACCAAAAGTCGGCAGCAGACAGCAGGCTGTAATGGGTTCAATGCCGATGTCGTACTGACAGGCACGTCTGGTGTATTTATGTATACCCTACCATACATCAGCTTGAGAGCGTGGAGGGAGGAATAAGCTGCCAGATTCGCCTGTCAATCAAATCTTAAGACGGGTCTTGGGGTATTGGGTTTCAGATTTGGCAATATCTTGAAAGAGCAAGAAGGCTATCGACGTTCAAACTGGCACAAAGGCCATATATATTATTATTACATCAGTATTATCCAGACTTCTAATTCATAATACTTCCTATTAATATACGGCTCAGTAATCGAGTCCAAGTCGGTTTTTTTATTGCTGCCGCTGTGTAGTGGCTTCCAATTGAGAAATAGTAAAAGCCGAAATGATATACACCAAAAAGCAAGCCGTTCCATGTTAATTATTTTATAACTAGTTTGTTGTATATTTAGGATGTTTTTGAAGATGGTTTCGGTGTATTGAACAGATTTATTGGTGTATCTACCTCGTTTGACTAACGTGTCGTGGTGATTATTGTTACTATTGTCTACTCATTAAATCATTAACTTCTGAGATTAAAAGATTAATAGAGATTAACGACATTAATTCAGATGGAGAAATCGGTTTTAAAGACTAAAAATGATTGGATATGTACGTAATTGATCGTTGGGAAGACAACAATGAAATAAATATTTTTATTGTTACTTTGGTCATTTAACAGTTCCTTGGTCCAAATAGTGGTTTCAATTCTATAAATTATCTAAATGTTGTCGTTTGTTATGTAGGCTATAAAACCTATATAGAAAGAAACAACCGTTTTATAATATATACAAGGAGATCAAGCTATTTCACGAGGGTCTTGCCTACCATTCGATACTTGGCCAAAATATACATATCATGTCTTACCTATTAATCAATTTTATATAGGTTGTAGGTTAATGCATAGTTTTGGGTCATCTTTGATTTAAAGTATCCCCGGGCCCAGGACACACTTAAATTGCCATAATAATGACAACTTTCATTAATAATTTGAGAAGTTCTACCAAAAAAATTCAATCAAATCAAAAACAGTGCATTAGTTTTGAATGGATACCAGTAGTTGATGAAATCATAGATTTTGATCATCTCTGATTTAAGGTATGTCCCTGAACACAATTTAATGCCATAATATTAACTTGAAACGTTTTGACGTTGATACCCTTGTCTGGATGCTTCGTGTAAAGACGAACCCACAGCACGTGTAAAATCAAACTGCACGACAAGTGTAATAAAATGTAATAAAATAAAATGATCTATTTTGATTAACCAACTTAAAAGATGTGAGCGTGTTTATTTTTCAATCTTCACATTTCACTTGGAGTTTGTTATCATTGAAAGTTGTTTTACGGGTCGAGTTTACTGACTTCAAACAGACCAAGACACACAGTAAACCATTCCAGGCTACTTACACTCATAAATATGACAGAAACATCATTTATTTAAAATTTATTGATATCATTTCAAAGATAATTCCATAAGAAAATATTTCAATTTAGTGAAATGTATTTGTTGTAAAGTTCTGTTACAATGATTGCAAAGTGTCAGGCTATATACTTGTAGGCCTACCATATTAAAAAACACCCCTTTTGATCCACTATTCTCATAGCATCGTTGATAATTTCAGTACTTTTAATTGTATAGCGCGTATTAATTCAGTATTGCTATAATATTTTACAATTCCAGTAGTTAATATAATATAATGACAACTACACTATCGAAAAGCCGATACTAATCTGCTGTCAGTTTCAATAGCTCCTGAAAATCAAAGGGGAATGTCAGAGTTACTGTAGTACTCTAAACGGGATATGACGAATTGATAATAGGGATGCCAACTACATGAAATTAATGTCACCAAACAAAATTAGCCGGATTAAAATAAAAAACTTTTACAGCTGTGTTTTTAATCCGCTGCCAATAAGGATAGTTGTGATATCAAAATGTGAGGGACCCAATGGTGTAGTTGAACCGGATATGACGGATTATTGAAAATTTGAGTTTTATCACATTAAGTTGTTTGATTAACTCTTTGAATATTCTGTTTCCACATGTTTGACGTAAATCTTTCTAAAAGCAAGTGCGAGAAAGTATAATTTCACAAAGAGCTTTTACAATAAAACGAAATTATTCTCTATTTTTTTACCGCATTATCTATTCATGGAAATAAGCAACCAGGAATTTTCAAATGGACAATCCAAAAACATTCAAAAGGGCAATAACAGTGCCTGATTGTGGAACACAGCAATTGGGTCATGAGGGTAGGGTACAGACAAATTGTCAACACAAGTGTTAGAAAACCAAATTGGGTTGATATCAAGAAATTTTCAGAACGTCAGGAGGCCAAAAATTGATTTACCTACAAGTGTATATTACGTCATATTACAGCATGACGTCAGATAGGGTATCCCCAGGAATCCCCAAGGGGAACTCCCCGTCAATCAACAGTAACCTCATTAATTATTCTCATTAACACCTACTAGATGATCTTAATGTACATCCGGCCGATAGCCAGAGCGCCGTTTAGCCCGTTTTTACATAATCACAATAAAACTTCGGAATTCGGAAGATTAGCCTACAGAGGGATGGAAACTCGACTAGTATCTTCTCCATTATAGATCATATCACGGATGACGGGCACATTTGAAAATTCAATTTTACCCAGTCCACTAATAATATTTAGATATTATTTTATATTGCGAAGATTTAAAAATCGTCCTGTGATCACCATTTTATCATTCAAGAATTGTGATCTTGAACGCCCGTGGTGTCATTAAGATAAAATCTGAGATAGGTATAAAAATAATAAACGTATTTGTTATCTCTATTACATTCATTATCCGGCTGCAACAAAACGTTCCGCATCTGGAAAATTTCAGCTCAACTCTCTAATGCTACTTCCTCTAAGAAACTTTCTACTGCAATAATACCAACTTTGGTACTGTTTTTATGGGAGAACTGTTTGCAGTTATATGCTGCAACTATATTTTTTTGCCACCCATATCCATCAGAGCAAGTTTACATATTATACTACTAAGATTACTTTAGCAACAATCACCAGAAAAGTTTACCTGTTTGTCCGAATATTAAACTTAAATCGATAATGCTCTATATTTTAGCTATTGCTTGGATACAGTAAGCACTATTTTCATCTGTTCTACCTTGCGAAACATTGCCAGAAATCCATTTTCCATTCTTCATCAATATTTTCAAATAAATTGTCATATTGTTTTTTGTTTCGTTTTACAACGGAAAAACAGTGTATATCCAAAGTATTGTTTTAGTTTTGAAATTTCTGGACTATTATTCGTTAAATAAGCCTACTAATGAAGTCAGTAAATAAAACTAAACATAAGATCTATCTGCAATCATAATCCCCAAATAATTTTTGAGTTAATAAATAAAAGCTTTACCAACGGGTAATAGGCTTAAAAATTTACCAACGGATAAAAGGCACCAAGAAATTCATAGGCTTCCACATATGACAGAAATTGAAAACCAGATTAATCTTGATCGAAAAGTATGAAATAAAACGTTTTTAAATGTGATTTAGAATAGAAATAAGAATATTGCCTTGAAGGTAAACTCAGAATAATAAACAGTTTATATGCAAATATCGCACTGCGTTATTTTAACATTATCACTATATTTTAATGATACCAGGGGGAGCAACTCTTCACATTAAGTCACGATTAATTTCTTTTACAAACCCTCAATTATAAACATTTGCAATCTCATGGTAGATCACGTGACGTAGTTTACAAACAAGAAAATAAACAAAATGGTGACTATCAAAGAAATTTCAGAGAAATGGTGAATTTATTTTCTTGTTTTTCGTGTCTCTGAAGACAATCCAAACAAGATGGAAGTAATTTATCCACGACTTGTCAGCAATGACTAACTTCGACATTATTTTTTTAACATTTCAGTTTTTCCTGTTTGCCCTTCTCTGACAGAGAGTTATCAAGTCCACGAGAAATGATTTCAACATGTGGCAATGAAATAAAAACAAAACAACTCGATAAAACAATGGAATTTATTATATCGGTCTATTCCCATTGGTGCTTTATATTTTACTCCTCCCTGCTAGACATACTGGAACTAAGTTTCTAGCTTTCTGATATTCTGTCTGATTCTAGTGTATGGTATCAACATTTAACATTTTAACATTTGTAAATCCAAGATTGAATGCTGTATAGAAGATATCCGTGTATGGATGAACAATAATTTCCTTAAATTAAATGATGATAAAACTGAATACATTCTACTGGGATCGAGCAATCTTTTATCAAAAGTTAATGAAAATGTATCTTTATCAATAGGAAGTCATGTAATATCCCCTATCACGTCAGCTAGAAATATTGGAGTTATTTTCGATCAGCATTTAACCCTGGAACCTCATGTAAATAATGTGTGTAAATTGTGCTATTTTAATCTCCGTAACATTAGTAAAATCCGTAAAAATATT